CTAGAAGTGCTCTTAAGGATGCTATAATTGTATTATTTTGAGTGCATATGTTCCAGTACAGGTGTATTTGTCGAAAAATATTGGTAGCATGACAGCGAGACAGTCCTCCAAATTGTCCTTTTTGTACGTACACGAGCCTCCGTTACTTTTACTCAGCATATCTTCTTCTTTATAACAAGTTTATCAACTCATGTGCTCTTGCTCTGTCTTCTTTCTTTTAACAAGCTTATCTCCCCTTTCTTTTTCTTTGTTTTTGGTTGCTGCAGACAATGCGTTCACATCGAAATCACATATGTGCCAATGATGGTCATGAGTGTAGGTCGAACGATGAGTGCATCAATTATCATCGTTATAGAAACAAGCTAAAACGATGGTGTGCTATTGAAGTCTTAAAGAAAGGTTTTTCGTCCAGTAGTTCCTTCTTAAAGATTTGATTTCCTTTTATCAACGTATTTAGTCTCAACTTACGTACTGGTAACTAATTTATCTTAATTTTCAAATTAATAGCTATATGTATGCACTATAATGGAATATTAATTGTTTTATACTATTAAATAGCTCCAGTTAATGACCAGCCGGATGCTAACGAGACTTGACATAGATATAGATAATCTGGAAGGCAAGGGTCCTATTGCTACGTTTGAGTATTTAGAGGCCAGTCATGATAATCCTCGCAATCTAGTAGCTATAAAGTACTAGGTTAAGGGTTTCTTTAGTAGGAAATTGTATTTGAAGAATAGAAGAATTGATCTTGTTTGTGTTGCAAATTATTCAGAAGTCGAAGCTCAAGAAATTTATGGACCCCTCTATCAAAGGACAGTATGCCTCTTGAGCAGCCTCAAGAGGAACCAGGCAGCCCAACCCTCTATGCAGGAGGTTATGTTGCATAGACATGGGTACAGGAATACAGCAACTCGACACGGCTTCACGGAATATATGAAAAAAATAGGACATGAACACGGTGATTAAAATAATAATAATTTATTAAATTTATATGAATTATTATTAAATTAACACATTATATTGGCCCATAGGAGAAACTTTTTAAATAATTTACCCATTAACCATTATCATGAAACCAGGCCTTATGCTATTAAGTTGCTATTTATTTTTAATTACAATACAAAATGATACCAAACGTGTTTGACCAAAAAATTAAAAACCAAACGCGCATTTCACCCAAACTTAGCGGCCTTTAGACCATCTCCAACCATGTTGAGGCTAAACTCAAATTTTTACCCTTTAAAATACAACTATTCATGTATTTTTAGGACTCAAATTATTTTTTCCTCCAACCTTGTAGACTCATAATTTGAGTCTACTACTTTATCTAAATTGTTTAAAAATAGTTAGCCTTCAATTTTTTTTTGCCATTAATTTTTCTTGATATTATTTTTATTTCAACATTCGTGATTTAATTTTCTAAACATTTTAACCTAAAAAAATCCAAAATTCAAAACATAAATTTTTTTTTTACTCCAAACAGAGCAACTTTAAGTTGCAAGTTTAATAAATAAAAAAAATGAAAGAAACAATAACTACAAATGGTGAGCTGCCACTTGTCATGCAAAAGCAAAGGGAGAGCTGCAACTTTCTTCCGCGTAGGGCCCACTCCATTTTTCCTCTTCATATGGGCTGTGCAGCATGAGTTGGGGTCCACAAAAAATTTCCAGTCCAGGCAAAACCCAGACTGGAATTCCACCCAAAATTCCACCCATCTCAAATTTCCACCCTTGAAAATACATGGGTTGGAGATGAATTTTGGACTCAAAACTCAAAATTTGAGTTTTCACCCATTGGGTTGGAGATGGTCTTACCCACATGAGAATCACATCATTCTTCCTTCTTCTTTTTTATGGGTCAGAACACGACGTCGTTTAGTGTGTTTTGAGAAGACCAAAAAAAGTCAGAAATCCTCATCTACTTCCTCGAGCTAACACAGCGCCTCTGCAACAGTTAGCCGCCGTCTGCAAATCAAGCAAGTAAGGCCTACTGTTTAAAAGAAAAAGAAGCAGCAGCACATGCGTTGATTCCTACACACAAAGCCTCCTCTGCAACTCAGAATTTTTTTCAAGAATTTCCGAGCCGTGTCTTGACCATAGTTTCACGCGTGTCTGGGAGTGTCTTGAATGTGTCCATGGCGTTGACCGTGTCCAACGCGTGTCTGTGCTGTGTCCGAGTGTCGGAGTGTCGGACACGCCGACACTCCGCCTTATTGTTGTGTCCGTGCAACATAGGCGGGAGGTTTTGAAGGAGTTGGACATGATTAAGATGATAGTAAAAACTTGAGTGATTTGAGTTAATACCAAATACTATTTGGCTTCAAATGCTATAATGGAATTTTAATTATTTTATACCATTTTACAGTTCAATAGTCTCCTGAGGGAGACATATAAGGGATGGGTGTTGTGCTGCTCCAGTTAATGACCAGCCGGACGCTAACGAGAGCTGAGATGGATGTAGACAATCTTGAAGGCGGCAGTCCAATTGCTACATTTGACTATTTAAAGGCCAACCATGACAGTCCTCGCAATCAGGTAGGTATAAAGTATTAGGTTTAAGGGTTTGAAGAAAAAAAGAATTGATCCTGTAAGGTTTTAATATTACTTAGTTTTTTTCCTTTCCTTGACATCATTAACATCTTGTAATAAGCTGCTCAAAGAGGATTAGGACTAGACTAAAGTTGTTAGCTTAAAGTGGTGCCCACATAAAGCGACTGTCTGCTCCTCTCACAAAGCGTGTGCCTGCTCCTCAACAATCAGCTTTTGGCATTACTCAACAAAGGTAAAATCATTTCATTTTGTGCTGCTGGTCCATTTTGAATGATCTATCGTACGGATGGTAAAATCTTACTGTTTTTTGCCAGCCTTTACACCTCTGTCCATAAATATTCTCTTTGTCTTATTTGATAGCATTACCGTCTTCTACTCCTCAGCAAAACAGTTTCGACATCCAATTATATTCTACAAAATCAATGAACACGGTGCTTGAAGAAGGTATTAAAATTTCAATAGTTTAAAATTAGATTGGCATTTCAATGGGCAGACCATGTTTTGGTGGATGCACCCCTGATTGATTAGGATAGCTTTACCTTTGGAATTACTATAGTGCCCCTTATAGGGAGATTTTGATAGAGGATATTCTTCTTGTCTTTTACAAGAAGCATGACAGATCCTGGGTTATTATTCATATTGGGATAAGACAATAAGCAAATAATGCATGGGGTGTTCCAACTTTTAATCACAGGCGATCTTCACCAATCTACATTAATGCTAGTATAAATTTGGGATTTAAAGACGATTCCCTTTTAATTTCGCATCGGTCTCCTGAAATCTCATAGACGACCTAGTACTTGCTTGGGTTATATATAAATCTATCCATTATTGCTTTTGATTATTATGTCAATAATATAGGTTTTGCTTTCGGAAAACAGGAGATTAAAGAAAAAACTGCATGTCACTCCTATACGTAACAAAAGAGACGCAAGTATATTGCTTATAGTGACTTTATCTGTTTGTACAATATATAGATTGTGCTTTCGGAAAACACAACCTTAGCATGGCAAAATCACGATTTCACACAGCTCCCGTACAAGTTACAAAATCAGCGACTACAATGGGGAGCAATATCTAGTTCTACATAGTTAATACTTAGCTTCATGCACTATCTGTCTACTGGTTTTCTTCGGTTTCATCGGAAACTTTGCAAGAGAAGAACTTCCTTACACGCTGCAGCTTTTCTCAAACCTGATATCTAAACCTGAATTTCTTCACGGCATACCATTTTTCTTTGAGTGGGAATATTATGAATATGAAAAGAGCAAAAGCTGAAGAAACCCCAGTAACGAGAAATAAACCACGAAAGGTATGGAAGTTCAGAGTATTGGGATCACTCGTTGTGTTGTCAAACATAGGAATTGTTCTCTTATGAAACCAGACCTTCTCCATCTCTATAAGCTTTCCCTCTTCTCTCATTAGTTGAATTCGCATTGACATATCATGGACCAATTTCGAACCTTTAGGGAAAACCTGCATATACAAAAAAAGATGAACAACGAACTAATCAACGTGCTTACGTCCTGATTTTCTGCTTTTCTCCATATAGTTTTGATTTGCAATGCATATGTGTAATTAAATGGATGTAACATATTCGATTTGCTTTAAGCATCTGATTCCACACATTTTTCTCTCACAATTAAGTAAAGAGATATTTAGTCATATACCCATTCTTAGCACTAAAACTATAAATAAACTCTACACCATTTAATTTCTATAAAAAAACCCAAAAAAAACCCAAAAAATAATAACTGACCCTATTGAATTTCATATTGATTATTAAATTACTTTGATGCCCCATTACGTGTTTTGAGTTTTTTTATGAGGTTTTGGGGTAGGGTTTATTTTAAGAAATCAATGGCAGTTTTGTAATTTAAAAGAAGTTATAAGTCTTTTTGTTATGTTGTAAATGGGCTTTGGGTGTGTTTCTTAAGTCCATTTCATATATGGTTTTTTTTATAATCTGGGCTCCTATATTAGGTATCATAGTGAATCTCCCTTAAGTAAAGTACATGCACTTAATTGTCAGAATCAGAAATCCAGGGATCAAATTGGAAAATCATAAAAACTACAGAAACTATAAATGCCAAAATATCATGCTTAATCTTGCTAGTTTTATAGCGGAAATACAACATATGATTAATGCATAACTTAATTTAAGGGAGGTTACTCACAAAGCCAAAACCATTGGTGCTAGATTCGGGTTTAATCATGGAGTAGCCAGTAGGATAGTGTGCAAGGAAGATCTTCATGTATGGAACCTCGTCAACTATAGCAGAGACACCACCATGGTTACTTCCTCTTGATAAAGCGAGAGCATATTCTTCAACCAAATTATAGGGTTTAAGACCTTTGAAATTCAAGTTCTTTACTAGTCCCTGGGTGAATGAACCTGATTGGTAACCTATATAGTCCCCTCTTGAGTTTAATCGTATTTGGTTAACTGCCATAATTGATGTCAGAGTTGCTGTGTAACTGGAAGTCAATATAAGCACAGCAAACACCCATATGATCACTACAAACTTTGCTAAATTGTTTAACAACTTCTCCCCTGCATCAAAAAGACAAAATTTCATTTCCAGGTGATCTTGGCAAATCAACTCTATACATAATCAAGACTGATCATCTGAATGGATATAAGTAAGGGAATTTGAGTGACCAAAAGTGAACAAGGAATCATTTTGAATTAAGAGAATTCAGTCAGAAAAATATAATTCATAATGCTACTCTTTCTCATATCTGTGTGATAATTAATCAGAAAACACAAGGGTTGAATAAAAGAAACCGAAAACTATTTAGCAGTAAACTTGAATAATTGAAAGAAGTAGTGAGATATCGTGCACTTACTATGAGCAAACACAAGGGTTGAGAAGGAGAACCATAATATGGTTCCGATTTGCTGTGAAGGCTTGCCTTGGTATTCTGGGTTGGCAGGACGCTCAATTACCCACACAACGAAACCGGTCAAGATAAAGAAACCCGCAATTGTGATCCAAAGATCTGCCGAAAGAGGTTTCAAGAAAATCCACATGTCTCCATTTTCATTTGATACTAGCATCCCCACACCTAAGTCAGTATATGGTATTGTAAAACCAACATACTGAGATCTCTCCGATGTGATCGTGGTATCCCCAACAACAGCATCGAATGTCTAGTTAATATACATTCCCCAATATGCGCAACAGCATCGAATGTCTAGTTAATATACATTCCCCAATATGCAAAAGTGTGTGGCAGGAAAACGAAAAATAAAAAATTAGAAATATTAAATCATTAAAATGTAATATAATGAGATGCAAATCTATTTTTGCATTACAAGTTATTAGCATACAATTACAGATGTATTTATCCAACATAATATTTATATTCTACCTGATATAAATTTCTAATTTCAAATTAAGCATACCTGGAGAA